ATTACAAAATTATTGTAATTTGATTTGCTTTCGAGTATACCATGTTCCAATTCTTTGATTTTTTCTTTTAATTTCTCTGTATTCTCGGTTGAAGATTCAGAAACTGTCTGGACCACGAGAAGGTATGTACAATTTATTAATCAATTGATTTCATCTTATGTTTCAGTAAGAAACCGAAAATATAAATGCTTGCCAGATTGTCTCTTGTTTTTCGACATGGATACGATAAGATTTGTAGATTTTATTTATCAGACGATCATTTTTTTCATATTAATATAAATTTTAAAAAAAAATTCTTTTTTTTGCAAATTTTTTTTTGATAATTCACAGAAACATTCAAAGAAACATTCAAGAGAAATTATTATCAAAAAGAAACATTCTATTATTTTTTCCAAAGTTGAAGAATTTATACATAACAACATATATTATTTAATATTTCAACAAGTCTTATAGATATATTAATAAATATAATAATAAATGGATTAATCCTTTATCAATTAAAAGATTTTCTGCCTATACAGTATATAAAAATATTTCAAAAACAGTCCTTAATCAAATATTGCTTAATAAAAAATTCTACTATAATAACAATAATAATACTTCAGTTTTTTAAAGCTTAAAAAATCAACTAATCTGACAATAAATTAAAATACAAACAACTTTTTCTAAGTATTTTTTCAAAACCATATAAAAATTTTTTTGAAAACATATATTTGAAGAGGATGTACATTTAAAAAAAAAACATTCTATTAAAAATTTTATATACTTGGAATTAAACTTGACCATACATCTAAAGAGAAAAGACATTCTGTGTATTTAGGAAAAAAGATTCTCTATAATAATAATAATAAATTCTTAAATAATACATTCTAATTAAAATTAATTAATAAAGCCTAATTTCAAAGAACAACTAGAGCTAGGTTAAGGGTAGTTATTTTAGAAGGCGGACAGGAATTTTTTAATCTATAGCTTAGAAAACTAGGGGCCGAAAAATCTTACTTGATTTTTCGTTGCCTTCAAAGATAATATAAAAAAATTATTATTTAATTTAAAAATCAAATAGAAGAAAATTCCATTCAAAATTAATTATCGTTAATGAGTACAAAATTTTTTTTGAATGGCTATTTATTCATTTTTTTAATAAAGCTAAAAAAACGTTATGTTTACAAAAGACGTTTATCCGAGAAATCCGTTTAACAAAGAGATATAACCCATTTTTCTTCCTTGAACTCCGGTTATTTTCTTACGTATACACAATTACTACGCCATAAGGTGACGTTTTCTTTTGTAGGTCCATCTCCAAATTGCTGGAACCTTCCAAACTGCGTGTCCATTAACACTGATGATCCGTTCGATAAAGATAAAATACAATTTGTAACATAGAATCTCATGGAACCTTTGAAAAATAAGCTACGACGTTCACAATATAAATAAGGAACTTTTCTCGTTCCTTAAAACATTCTCAAAAAAAAAAAATCTTCCCACTCTTCATCTAGTGAAATCCTAGTAAAATCAATTTTTTTTTTTTTTTTTTCTTGACCCAACTTTATTATAAACGCATTCTATAACACGTTCACCTTTTACACGCGAGCACAATGTCGGACGTTGAACAATTTGCTTTTCAGGCTGAGATCTCTCAGCTTATGTCAATTATCATCAACACTTTCTATTCAAATAAAGAGTAAGTTTTGTCTTTATTCTCGACGTGTCTACACGCTTTCATGCCAGTTTACGCTTTTATGAGAACGATTTTTTGCACCATAACGGTGATATAAAGTTCAATTTTGGTAACCCGTGTAACCGATATAATTCTTCACTTATAGGATTTTCCTTCGTGAATTGATTTCTAATGCTTCTGATGCCTTGGATAAGATTCGTTACGAGTCCCTCACAGACCCTTCAAAGCTCGAGAGCTGTCGCGATCTTTATATTCGGATTATCCCAGATAAAGAAAACAAGGTTCTTGCACTCCGAGATACTGGTATCGGAATGACAAAGGTATATCATATAATATAAAGAACTTTTTATACTGTCTACGTTATTATACACGTGTAATTACTTATTCACTTTCTTTTTTGTGCAATATCATGGTTTTAGGCTGATCTTGTAAATAATCTTGGTACAATTGCTCGTTCCGGCACAAAAGCATTTATGGAAGCTCTCCAATCGGGTGCTGATATATCTATGATTGGTCAATTTGGTGTGGGTTTCTATTCTGCCTACCTGGTCGCTGATCGTGTCCAGGTCATCAC